TCCTGTTGCTTTCTTCAAAGATATTCCCTTTAATATATATGAACATGAGTTTTAGGGATGGAGCTCGCACCCGATGGTTTCTTGACGGAAACGTTATCTCTGGAACAGAAATTGGCGTTGAATTATCGCAAAATAATCGCCGTCTTACTTTAGCATCTCCGGATATATTGAGAAAAGTAAGCAATTGCTGTTCTGTTGCATTACCTGTTTTCAGAGTTTTGATTTACTCGTAGCTTTTTCAGTTGAGACAGTTGTCTTCACTCTATGTTTACTGTCGAAACACATTATTGTTCATCGGATGAACTTCGTTTATTTTTTTTCTCATGTTACAGGGTCGATCTGAACATAAACTCGATTGCAAAGTAGTGGCCGAGTCGGGTCGGGCGTTTGACCAGAGGTCTTTGAAGATTAATGTCGTAGGTGAGAAACTTGAACTGTATCTTAATGATTTACATTCCAGTGATTGTATGTTTCAGAGTCGCCGACTTTGAGGCCACTTCCATCGGAAATTTTCCAGCCTTTGGGCTCAGAACTTAGTCTACATTGTCCTCAGAAAAGGAATAGTGGTCTTCCGCCTACGATTAAATGGTTTTTCAACGGTCGAGAAGTAAGTGATGCATGCCCATCTCTCTATTTGCAGCTAAGCGATCATCGCTAATTTGAAATGCAGTCATAGAGCTACAGGCTTCTTTGTTGCTTCTTCATCTCTTTTTACTATTCAATTGTTGACAAAATTTTCCATGTTGGTGTAGGTGAGTAGATACTGGCTGGCACACACATCGTTAGTTACCTCGCTAATTGGCACCATCGCACTGGTCTTCGTCCACCTCATGCCGCTCACCTCGTGCATATGCTCGCTAATACGTTACACGAGGGAGTAAGTCGCATGTGACCTAATTCAGAGTGACCGGGCCTTGTCGCAGTTTACGTAATGCACGGAATCGAAGTATACCGTCAAGACACGCAACGTGTCTAATAAGCAGCTAGCGCTTGTTTGAATTGCGGGTTCAATGGTGGGATTAATTAGTGAGAAGACGCGATGAGAAGAAGGTGCAATTTCGTGATGAGGGTCTTATGACTATAATCAGGGGGAAATATGATGGGTCAACCAGGAGGAGTTGAAGAGCTCATTATGGGGTGGTT